CGACGAAGAGCCGGGGAGGAGTAGGAGGGAGGGAGGGGGCAAGCCAAAAAAAAAAAAATTTTATTTTTAAAAACAAAAATTCTATCCCAACAAACAATCGAAAAGAATTTTTTTTTTTTTTTTTTGTAAAACGGAAATAGGTCAAGAAATTTTATTTTTGAATTTTCCTTCAACAAACGACGACTCGCAGCAGCGAATTCTGTCGCCGAAATGCGAAAAAAAAGTGAAAAAAAAATTCAAATGACGTTCGTTTATTCAAAAAAAACACGTTCGGTCGTTCGTAATTTTTCTTCCCTTTTTTTTTCTTCTTCGTCTTATTATTATTATTTAAAATTCATATTGAATCTATTCAATCGAAGGTAAAAATGGTAAGCGTTCGTTCGTCCGAACGCCTTTTTCCTTTTTAATCTTCCTTATGGAAAAAATGTCGCGCAAAGTTTTTTTTTTTTTTCTCGTTTTATTTTCTACGTTCGCGACGTTCGCATGTATCTCTTTTCTAATTAATTTTTTTTTCTATTAAGAAACAAACTCGTTCGCTTTTGTTTTGCTGTCTATCTCTCTCTCTCTCTCTCTTTCTTTCTTTCTCTCTCAGTCTCTCCGCCGTTCGTTTGTTTCGTTAAACGAAGCGTTAAATTTTATTTTATTTTATTTTTTCTTTTATTTAATTATCATCATTATCATTTTCATTATTATTAATATCAAAGCCTCGTTAAAATACACATAATAAAACATTTGAAATTTGTTTTTCTTGTTTTCTTTTTCTTCTTCTTCTTCTTCCCCACCCCCTTCCCACCATCCGTTTTCGACATTTTCGTTATTTTGTGTTTTTCCCAATGAAAATTATTCTGGCGAAAACTTTTCCTTCTCTCTCTCTCTCTCTCACCCCCCCTTTTTCTTTCTTTTTCAAAACGATACAAAACAAACTTATTAATTAAATAAATTAAATAAATCATTCATAAAAATATAATGATGATGATGATAATGATATTAATAATAATAATAACGATAAACAAAAACCGTTCCGGAATCATTTCGAACGCGTCGCGCACATCGATTCAATCAATCAATCAATCTGCAAAATGACTAAAACGTCGTTCGTCTTTTACTTTCCGGTTCCTCTTCTCCCCCTCCCGCTCCCCCAATCTCCCACCGAACCGGAAATTTTTTTTTTTTTTTAAATCGATAGAGTCAAGTTACGGGTAACATCAAAAAGGATATTTGTGTGTGTGTGTGGGTGACAATAACAATTTCCGTTTCCCGTATGACGGTGACAACAACCCTACCGTAATAACAACGACAACCTCTTCCCCTTCTCCCTACTCCCCGCGCGGAAAAACGAATCGAATGGAAAATTCAAAGGAAAAGGAAAAAGTGAACATCAACAACAACCGGTAAACCGGAAATTGTTTCGATTTTAATTGGAAAAGTTTTTTTGAGTACTCAATTTCGGATTTCGTTTGAGCTTTAATATATATATATTCCAGGCTGGAACGAAATTTGAAATTCGCGCCATTTTTCCCTCACTCACTTTAAGGTTACCAACACTGAGGAGAGCGAACGGCCACGACGACGACGACGACGACGACCGATGATGACGACGATATGGAGGAGGAGGAGGAGGGAGGAGCAGTGGGGGAGTTGGGGAGGAGCGGTAGGAGAAGGAGGGGAGGGGAGGGGCAACTCTACGAGAAGAATGTATTAATTGTTAGGAAATTTATTTAACATTAGTTATGTCACTCGAAATAGATTATTAATTAACAAGTAGTATTAAAAAATCCGTCGTAAATGGATTCTTAATTATTGCCTTCAACTTTAACCACCTTTTAAAAATCGTTATTTATAAATTTATCGTTTTTTGTTTCTTATTTAACTAACAACAACAACAACAACAACTCGATTTTATTTTTAATACTTTTGTTTTGTTTTCTCTCTCTCTCTCCCCCCCCTCTCCCTCATATCTATCCATCTCTCATTATCACTCCTCTCCCCTTTCTCTCTCACTTCGCTCTCTTTTCCATTCGTTTTTTTTCTCCCATATTTATTATTGGAATTTGATACGGGCGACCCATGTGTGATGTAATAGAAATAATTTTGAGAAGAAAATTCTCACAAATAACGTTATTAATAATAATAATAATAATAATAATAATAATAATAATAATAATAATAATAATAATATAATACTAATAATAATGATGATGATGATGATGATTATGATGATAAAGTTAAAAAAATTTATTATTTATTAATCTTAATAAATAATCGAACGTTGTCGCGGTTCCTCTCGCCTCCTTACGATAAAAAAAAAAAAAGCAAAAACGATGATGATGATAATGATGATAACGATAAATGGGGAAGAGGGGAGAGAAGGGGAGGTGGAGAAGAGAGGGGGAAATTTAAGAGCTAACGACAAATCGAATTACAAGTGATAAAAAATAAAATAAAATAATTTTTTTTTTTTTTTTAATTTCGGTTATAATCTGTGGCGATAATAATAATTATAACGACGACGACGACGATGATGATAATAATGATAATGATGATGATGATGATGTTGCATAATTTTCGACCATCCTCGCGGCTACGTTCGGGTTTTATATTTTACTTTCACTTATTTCACACGACATTGACCAGACGCCCGGTTACGCCACTGAGCCGACCATTATTAATTTATATGTATAGCGTTAAATTTTTTTTTCATTTTTTTTTTCTTCTTCTTCTCATCTGTCTAATTCCACGTCTTTTATTTTTACTTTTTTTTTTTTTTCCGTCTTGCATTCAAAGTACTCCGAAAACCTTTTCTTTCTCTCTCCTCTCTTCTAAGAGTCAAACAAAAACGTCGTCGTTGTTGTGGTTGTTGCGGTTGTTGTTGTTGTTGTTACGTGTTAACTTCGTTTGCTCACATTGATTACATTATCAATTATTAAAATTTTTTTTTTTTTTTATTACACGACCCGCATTTCATTTGGAAAAATTTAATGGATTCACTTCTTTTTTCTTTTTTTTTTGTTTTGACAACTCGATTCGGTCCAAAAAATAATAATAATAATTATTATTATTGTTGTTATTACGTGAGAACGAAAAAGAGTGAGAGAGAGAGAGAGAGAGAGAGAGAGAGATGGAGAACCCGGATAATTAATATTTAGAGAACCGTGTCAACACATTGTCGAATTTTAGTAGTAGTCGTCGTCGTTTGCAACGCATACACACGCATTCGTACAAGATGGATAACAAAAAAAAAAAAAAAAAAAAATTACAAAATCAACATCGTCGAAACCCGCCTACATGAAACAACATCGTAGCGTTTGCTGCAAACAAACAAACAAACACGTACAAACAAGTAGCGGTTGCTCTAATTTTTTTTTTGTAAAATAAATTTATTGTAAATACTATCGACGCATTTGCTCGCTCACGCACTCACTTTTTTACGTAATTCGTAGTATAATCCTCCTATCGGCTCTCTGATAACTTTTAAATAGAGAGAGAGAGAACACACGCACACACACGCACAAGCACGCAACAAATCCCATGATAATAATAATAATTCATCTGGAAAACCGGTGCCGAGTCCTCAACCTCTCACACACATTTTTTTTTCCTTTTTTTTTTTTTTTCGCGAGCTCTCCCCTAGCAAATCTCGAACCTTATCATTATCATCATCATTATTATTATTATTAAATCTCGATTGATTTATTATCATTATTATTTTTTTTTTCGTCGATCGTTACAAAAATATGATTCGATATTCCAGTTTTTCCCATTCACGATCCGACAAAACGACAAACCAATAAAAAAAAAAAAAAAAAAAAAAAAAATTGAAAATTATTACGCGATCAAATAAGAGAGAGAAAGAAAGAGAGAGAGAGAGAGAGAGAGAGAGATCGTGAATCGAAGAAGAAGAAAAAAAATAGCACGCAAAAACCTTCTTAGCTTATGATGAAAAAAAAATTTTTTTTTAAATGTTAATGGTTTATTTATGCATTATATTTATATATATAAAAATTTAATGACGCGTTACTCCTCGACCGAGAGTCGTCGTGGCAGTAGATAGATCCGGTTTTTTTCGAAAAAGCTTGCAATTAAAATTCATTAAAAAAAATAAAAAAATATGGATTTTTTCTTATTTATTTCTCTCTTTCACTCTCTCACTCTCTTCATTTTTTCGTAAGTAATTTTAAAAGGACCCGCGTGTTTAACCTTTTGACCCCAATAAAAAAAAAATTGGCTACGAATCGAATATCAACAGGTAAAAAAAAAGGTTGCGAAATTGAAAAAAAAAAATTTTCAAACTTTTCACTTTCACGCGCGTTTTCTTCGCGCAACAACAACAAACGACAAACGACCGAAGCGATGATCGATTCCTAAGGATTACGATCCTGGATGATTACCAAAAAAGACAAAATTTCCGGGTCTAGATTTTTCTCCAGGATCGTGAGCATCGCGGTGGTCCTCCAGAATAACAAAGCAAGAAAAAAATAAAAAATTCTCTTGCGTTATCGTTTGACACCCACGATCATCAATTTAAAACGAGAGAGAAAGAAAGAGAGCGAGAGAGAGAGAGCAAAAAGAATTAATTTAAAAAAAATGAAACATTCGTGGCAGTAGAGTTCAGAGAACTTTGTTTTTAAAAAAAAGAAAAACATTTCACCTTGTCCAACTAAAAAAATTTAATTTTAGAAGGTTGTCTGTCTACGTCGGAGTGAAAACAGTAAGAGATGGATAGATGGATGCATAGATAGTTAGAGAGAGATAGAGAGACTCAAAGAGCAGAAGAACCGAGCGGTGATAGAGAGAGAGAGTCAAAAAGGATGAAAAACAACGAAAAAATTGTGCAAGTAATGATATCGACCGAACGTGCCACGATTATCAATTTATTTATTTATTTTTTAAAAGTTATCCGCTATCGTTATCATTATTATTATTATTATTATTATTATTATTATTATTATTATTATTATTATTATTATTATTATTATTATTATTATTATCGGCGTTATTAAAAATTGTTTGAAATCGTTCGTTCGTGACACATCTTCGACGTTCGTACCTTCGTACGTTTGTTTGTTTCTTTGTTTCACGCTCGTTCGTTTGTTCGCTTTCGCTTGTTTTTCTTATTGTTGTGTTTGTCGTGCCATTCATCCATCCATCCATCCATCTTTCGATTGTCGTTGTCGTCGTTGTTGTTGTTGTTGTACAATCGGACCAAACAAAGATTTAAAAATCACGATCAAACTAACGAAAGAA